CCTCCTCTCCAAAAGATTCTAGGGATCCACAAGCATTAAGCTCCTGATGGACCCCCAACTATCCTACTGAAAACTTGGCCCTAAAATCCTTGAAACGACCATCCAAGAGTTCCATTATCCCTTCCTTGATGGTACTAAACATCACAGGAGTCTGCTCCAAAATTCTGCGGGTGATCTTCGACGAGATGAACTCCCGCATCTGTTGAACCATCAGCTTAGTACCAACACTTGAGCCCGAACCAGAACCTAAACCTTCCCCACGTGAGCTCATAACCATTCTGAAAAGAAACCTCACAAATGATCAGAACATACCCAAAGAATCCTCATTCTTTAGGCTTCTTCGATTCTTTGTGACTCTCCTCGAGTCGAGTATAGATCATGTGCTTTCAGTAGTACGGGCCCAATACTACCTTCCACACTTATCCATAATTTTCTTAAGAATTATCCCAAATCCTCCAAGTCACCTTCTCAAACTGATACTCTAAATATCTATTAAGCAGCGCAGCCAACTCACTACAGCACATCCTAGGCTCTCCTAGGTTCCCGACCTCACCCTGCCATCAGTTGTTGAAGAACTCTCACTAATGTCAGTTAACTACTTCATGAATACAATCACATGCAACAAAGCTAGGATAATCCTTCGAGTAAAAGACTCATCCCTACAACGGTTAGACTCAAACGAGAGTTGTGCATTAGGGTCAAATCCGTCACTCTGAGATTATTTAACATATGCAACATGTGACTTAACATATTCACTTAACAATTAACTCACTTCACCAATAGTCCCACAAAGCATAAAGCAATCAACATCCGTGCAGTAACACTCCAAGCCACAACCAAATAGAGGACATCTCAAGCTTACTTCCTTCCCAGAAAGATTCCAAATCTAGTATAACATCCAATTTCACTTAGGCTACAAGGAATCACATATCAGGTCAATCCATTTAATCATCTGATATTCATACTAGCATGCAATTCTAAAAGATCAAACAACTAGGCATATAAAGGCATCTCTCCTAGTCATGGAATCCTGAGCAGATCCTTAGCCCTAATCTAGCATGCAATTCTCATAACATATAACATAAGAAACATGTATCGGTATTCTGGGAATCACTTACTTGAGCTGAACAGATTGCATACACCACACCTCTTTTCTTTTATTAGAAAATCCTTTAATAAAACTTCTTTTTATAAAAATCTACCAAACCCTCGGTTTGATTTCAGACACACCTAAGAGTATACTTGAATCCCTCAAACCAAGGCTCTGATACCAACTTGTAACATCCCAAAATTTAAGACCAAAATTTTCATTTTCATACTAATAAAACCATCAACCAAACATGCTAATAAAATCATAAAGGAAAGATCAGAGTAAATCATTCAATCATCTCAATACATCAAAGTCATATAAGGCGGAAATCATGGTATGTATGCGATGCGATCACCCCGAGCTCTTCCTTTTCGATCCGGAAGTACCTGAGACACAAACTGAAAACCGTAATCATGAAGCTTAGTGAGTTTCCCCAAAATACCTCCTATCATACATACCAAACATACATCGGGCTCCGCCCGAAACAGATCTGTTAGTAACATGCGATAGGCATCGCCCGACACACTCATCAGGCCCCCATCTGGAATCGGTCCCCGCCCAGTATACATAAAAACACATACAAGACATGAAAGAGTCACAAAGATAACTAGAATAATATAATATAATCCACTGGGTCGGCATTGGTGCCTTCAATTCGCTAAGCATTGGGAGGAGACTCACCTCAAACTGCTGAAAATCATATAAATGCTCGGACTGCTGATCTGGGAAACCTTTGCACTAATATCATCAAATAATACCTTAATTAATAATTAGGTCATAAACTATAACTAGGAATCTCATCCATTTGCCCAAATCCTAGGGTAAAATACCATTTTACCCTTTCCTCACTTAGCCTAATAATTATGGCCCCAAAAGCCTAATATGGCCCAAATTCCTAAATAACACACAAAGCCCATTATGGGTACAAATCCAAGAAGTCCCAAAGTCTAAAAATGACCCAAAGTCAGAAGGACTAGTAGACCAACAAGGCCCAAAACCATGGTAGTCCAAATGTGGCCCAAAACCAAAAAGTCAACAAAAGTCAATGGTTGCTCAGTTCACCTGACATACTCAGACTTACTCCCAGTGTACGCCTTCTTTGGACAGTATGCACAGCGTACGAGCTGGGTACGCCCCGTGTACTCCACAGCCAACCCATATCACGTACGCCCAACATACGTGGGTTTCATCCACGACCAACTTCGACCCGTTACGCTTAGCATACTCATAGCGTACACCCAATGTACTCGTCCAGGGACTAAAACCACCAATATTCTGAAGGTAATAACTTCTTCATTATAAGTCCGATTTCGATGTTATTTATATCCACGAAAAGGTAATGATAAGCTCTACAATTATATCACCTCTCCTTTGCCTTAAAACTTCTAGAGATTAAATCCAAAATTAATAAAAGACCCAAACTATCACTTTAAGGTTATACCCTTGGGCTCCAAAACACAAACCGAGCTCTAGGATCACCTAATCTACATTATCCACATCCAAGGGTTCTAAATCTCTCATTTTCCAAGGCCCATAGCCTTGTGATAAATGGTCTTCAGGTCACGGACCCCGAATTAGGAAACGATTTCGAAACATGGTGTTACAGTAGAAAACGCCTAAGATGTGTTGGAGGTATTTTGTATCGTTCCCGTGGAATCTCTTTTAAATATGATGATTTCATATATGCAGAAAGTTGTTCAGAGACTTCATTCAACGATTGTTATGATGTACCAACATATTCTATAGTAAGTGCTTGTACAGTTCAATAGTATTTAATTATAAACGATGCAATAATGGGTATATCATAAACTTAAATAAAAATTGTATGGGAGTGAAATAATTAACAATGTACCTCCACCCCTTTTGAGGTACCAACATCATCTTCGGGGTGTCTTATTAATAAGTTTTAGAAGCATGGCTAAAGTTGTGTCATGTGCTGAAAAACGAATCTCATGTGACCTCAACTTCTCTCGAAGTCCAATAATAGTTTGGTCCTTATCAGTTGATGGTACACTGGGTGGTAGTAATGGTGTTGATAGGTTAGATGCAACATATATTCGTGTCTTCTTTTTTCGAGGTTCATGGGTAGGCGAGTGTTGGGGTGATGATGTTAGAGAATATGCCCTGTGAATATCTATGATAGGTAAATTAGGGCGATCAATCCACGCGAAGCTAACTATCCACCATTCAACACGACTCTCCTCTTTTGTTGGCTCCAACTTCTGTATAAGTCTATTATTCTACAAACAAAATTATAAATTATAAATAAACATAAATTATACATATAGAAGAAAATTGTAAAATATATAAGTAATCATATGTCATTGATGATTATAAATTGGTTGCACTCAACCGCACATAAAGGCCACAGTTTTGATCATGCAACAACCCAAAAGATCACATTCGATTGCCGAGTACCAAACAAATTACTCACATGAAGATTCTCAAGAATCCATATCTAAAAGAATCATGTATTAAAATATTATCAAAGAAAAAATGTTAAAATTGTTAATCATGTATTTTACCTTAAAAATGTATACAAATCTGCATCCCCGTCCGATAACTCATTAAAAGAATGTTTAAACACATCAATCACATCATCTAATTTCACAAAGACATTCCTTACGACCATAGGAAATACACGGGAATGGAAGGTGCCGCCAAAAACAAAGGCAGGAAAATTGTCACCAAAGTGGAAGCTAGTGAGAAGACAAAATTCTTTCTTCCCGAAAGACAGCTCATAACCCTCAATCTCAAAAACCATTTCCTCTACTTCGTTTCGAGGGTCCGTGATAACTTCGTAGCAAAACACGTATTGTAGAAGTAAAAGATGCCCATCAACCTTAGGAATATATAACCACCTTCCAAAACATGAATTCTGGAATATAGTCGTGTATACGGGTTTATCTCTAAGTGTCGCAAGAATATCCACAACAACTTTGGATTTACAAGTAAGTGTAATTTATGCATCAAAAATTTTGTCTGCTGAAAATATAAAACTTGTTATAAGTTATAACAAGTTCCTTGCATGTTGGACATGTTCTTCGCATTCCGGATACGTTCTTCGTATTCCAGACTAGTTCCTCGCATTCTAAAGCATTCCGGAATGGTATGTTTTGTTTTGGAATACTAATTTTTTTATGTATAATACCCTAATATAAATAATTAAACTAGTTTGGGTTGGTCCTAATGCATTGTCAACATGTTTTGCTACTCCGGAATGTGTTCGGTTTATTCTAGAGATGTACTTCGCATACCAAATGAAGTTTATAAAAACAAAATCTTCAAACTAAACTACTAAGAGTAAAAGAGTAAAGGATTTACGCGTAAAACAACTATGTCATTGTGATCGTTTTCCATATCTTAAGTTGGAGATCAAAATGTGTGTCGGAATGTGTTGGGATGCCGGAAAGCGTGCCCAAACGTGTCGGAATGCGTTTATAATTCAAGATCTAGAATAAAATCAAGATCCGAAATATATAGGAATATAATTTGGAAAATGAATTTGAAAATCAAAATAGAAATTCGGAATAAGTACTATTACTCCGGAGTAGGCATTTCAGAGCGTCTTTGATGGGCCGGCCCAACCCGCCATGGAGTCCAAAATGGACTCCGGAATAACTCATTTCAGATACAATGGCTATTTTGCAAAAAAAAATAATAGAGGTTTTTTTTTCAAAAAAAATGGTTAGATTACTCAATTTCCATAACATTTGGTACGACGACGACGAGAACAAAATAAAATTACCAAACTACATTAATGATTTACATTAGGTAGTCCAATTTAATCGGTATTAATTAATATATGTATCAGTTTGATAAAATATATTTACTAAATACATAATAAAAATTATAAATATCTTAATATTCGCTTTATGCGATAAAAGTTATTAATCATTTATGCCTTAAAAAAATACTCACTTATATAAATTATCACTACTCTTTACATCCAACCCCGTTGAAGCCCCCCTCCCCCTTCTATCTCTCTCCTATCTTTATCGGTTTCAGTGAAAATGGGGACGAACACCACAGACACAGAGCCGCCATCGAGAATGCATGTCAACGAAAACCACACTCATTTACACCACCACCACCAACAACACCACCAATACCATCACCGTGACATTCTCCCGGAATCCACCATTCTTGTGGTTGTCATCCCCATCGTTCTTGTCATTTTACTCCTTGCAATTTCTCTAATTGTAGCATTGCTCCGCCGTGTAAAATCTCCAAAACCAAATGGAAACACCAAACACAACCAAAATTGCATGTTCATCTCTCATAGCATCATAACATTCGATGGTGGCCCAGGTAAACTACAACATCTAACCTCCATTTAATTTTACTAAATTACCGCTTTTATTAATCTGAATACCATCATTTTTGTGTACCAAAACACTGATAAATATGTAATTAATAATTATTTTTATTCATTTAAGTGGAAAAAAATACAAAAAATATGAGAATAATTTTATCTTTAATTTTGAGAGGTAGATGGGAAGCGGGGGTGTATCTACGGAGGAAGCCCATGCAGCCTGCCATTAGCAACATCTAGAGGTGTACAAGTATTCACATATAAAGAGCTGGAATCAGCTACGGGAAACTTCACCCAAGCTAACCTTGTGGGCAAGGGTAGTTTCGGTATGGTTTACCGAGGGGTACTCCGTGACGGCACCGTTTGTGCTATTAAATTGCTTCACAGGGAAGGGAAGCAAGCTGAACGTGCTTTTCGGTCGGAGGTATATGTCATATGTGACGTCTCATTACAATTACAACCATTTTATTTTAAATTGTTAAAATAAAATACTGTATTTGTGCGTGGAATTGTGCATATAATCAAAATTTTGACATTAATTTTAGTTTTATTTTTTATTAAAAATCTACAGGTGGATTTACTAAGTCGTCTACAGTGTCCGTATTTGGTGGACCTGCTTGGATACTGTGCTGATAATCAACACAGGCTCCTTGTATTCGAATATATGGCAAATGGTACTCTTCACGATCACCTCCACTCTTCTGATGCACGATCTCAAGCACTGATTTGGGGCATCCGGATGAGAATCGCCCTCAATTCCGCAAAGGCACTTGAGTTCCTCCATGAACACATCACACCATCTATCATACACCGTGATTTTAAATCATCAAACATTTTGTTAGACGAAAATTTTCGAGGAAAGGTCACCGATTTTGGGCTGGCCAAGATCGGATCAGACAAACTCAACGGTCTGATCTCGACCCGTGTTTTGGGAACCACGGGATATCTAGCACCTGAGTGAGTTCATTATTTATCCATCTATCACGTCAATTGTCATGTCAATCATATAGGTTTGACGTTATACATATTTTTATACTTTCGACAATGTTAGGTATGCTTCAACTGGAAAGCTAACAACCAAATCAGATGTCTATAGCTACGGTGTTGTTTTGCTAGAACTCTTAACGGGACGTGTACCTATCGACACAAACCGACCACCTGGAGAACATGTCCTTGTCTCTTGGGTAAGTACACTCACAGATTTTCAGTTACATATAGGACCCATCCGTTACACAGGACATGATAAGATAAACAACTTTGGATTTTTTTTTTTTTTTTAAAGTGTGGATACACAATGCCTCTCATTCCAAGGCGCATTTTAAAACCATGAGGCGCCAGTTGCCATCAAAACTTTATGGTTAAGCGTACTTGAGCAAGAGCAGTATCAAAATGGATTATATTATAATCTTTTCTTTATATTTTTCGTAATTGAAACCTTGTGCTCCTACATTAGGCTCTTCCAAGGTTAACAAATAGAGCTCAAGTTGTCGAAATGGTTGATCCAAATCTACATGGTCAATACTCAAGAAAGGATCTAATTCAGGTCTCGATTCAACTAAGCTTCCAAACAATCATTACCACAATAAGTCACCAAATAACTAACTCAACGTCTTGTTTATACAGGTAGCCGCAATCGCAGCCATGTGTGTGCAAACCGAAGCCGATTATCGGCCACTAATGACAGACGTTGTACAATCCTTGATTCCAATAGTAAACAATTTATCTGCGGGGAGTGCTTCTAGTTCTTTTAGGTTTAGTAAACGAGTAAGCCCTAGATCTTAGATGTCACTAGAATCTTGATTTGTATTCAACGAAATGAAACAAATAAAATAAATTGAATCTTTGCTCATGACATGACAGAACAGGTTGTACTTGTAGTTGTACTTTCTGTTTTATCTATTTTTCTGTGCCAACTTTCTCCTTGTATTTTGCGAAAGCTGCTGAAAGGGCTGATTTTACGGATAAATTAGCTTCTTTTTTATCGCGCTTACTTGAACTTCCTACTTTTTCGTCTTCTTGTGCTTCACTTGGAGTGAAAGGTTGGGCGGATGCTTCGGGTGGTGGATGCTGCTTGGAAACCGTGCGTTTGAATGGTTCATGGAAAGTGTCATACAGACGTTTTACCTAATAAACCATTTACAGTAAGAGAAAAAATGTTTACAATAATAACAACATGCTTATATATATACAACTTTTACTCATAATAGCAACCTACTAATGTTTTGACTTTGTTTGTTACATATTGCTATTAGAATATGAGGAAAGAAGTATAAGTATGTTGCTATTATGGTATTTATAAGAGCGAAGAGATGTACTTTTCGTTCTCCAATGCCAGGGCAACGAGACAGATCCTCCATGGAAGCATCCATAATATGAGAAAGAGACTGCAAGTAATCAGTTTTTTGGATATTTATTATAAAATTACTAAACTATCTTGAACTTTAATCAGATTCAGAAATTACTAAAGTACCCCAAATGTAGAGCCCAGAGTAACCACATCTGTCTTGTTGACATGTCGAACTGATGTTAGGGCGTGTGATAACTGCAATCAAAGTTCATTAATGAAATCAAGAAAACCTTTTTATAGCCAAAACTAGCGGAGAGAGAAATCCCATAAAAAATCTTGAAAGAAAGATGAGAACTTGAGCATATTACCCGTGATAAATAGTCTGTATCCATTTGGCCTTGAATGAAGTCTGCAGGCTTGTTTTCATAAACTTTTATTGTTTCAAGATATCGACCACATTCTTCCAAGCTGAAATAAATAACATATGAGTTTTGTAAGTTTTTTGTAACATAAATGTTTGATTCTTAGAACATTCAGTCATTTTAGTAACTCCTAAAACAAATCAAGAATATGATTCCAAAACATTAGAATTGCCACACTCAAGAATCATTAGAACATGCGATATTATTGTTTAGCCCATCTTTAGAATACAAATACAGATACTTATGATCTTAATAAACAAAATGAAGCATGGATTGTTTGTAAATTAAGGAAAATATATTTATTTAAGACAGGATGAATGAAAGATACCTCCAACCACACAAAAGAGTACAGTCATGAAGCAGAGCTGTTCTTGTAACTTCCAACAATGGCTTTACAACATCCTCCTAAAACATAAAACAACAAAAAGATTCATCAATCACATAGTTGTATTCTCATGATCATATTTATATCAATCACATCATTTTCATCAGATTTTAATTGAATTGTCCCACATGAATCATTGATAATGATTGAGATGATTAATATTTTTGTTCGATTATGTAACTGAAAAGTGTAAACCAACATATATGCTATATTTCATACTTTATTCCAAAGAAACAAATCAAAGATTCAACTGTGGATATCAAGATCTTACAACATCAATATGGCATAAAACAACACGAAGCTTGAAATTTTTTCCCAATTCCCTTATTCGAAAATATAGGTAGTCTGGGTGAAGCAGGTGATACCTAATACTGCATGGAAATAATCATAATGATCAGAATGAGAATATGAGATTAGATATAAGTTATAAGAGTGAGGTTAAAGAATCTTTAAAATTTTGGAAACTAAAGCCTATGTGATTGAGGGGTCATTAAGAAGAACTAAAATGGAGATGAAACCTGAGATATAGAGCACATGATTGTTGTCCCAAGACGTAGTCAGAGACAACATCTGCAAAAGCCCACCTCACATTTCTTATATGTTTGAGCAAAGGATTTCCCTTCTGTAGGAGCAAACAAAAAAAGAAAAAAAAAATAGATGCAAATCAGTACATAAAGGCAGTGTAATATGCAGTACACACTCTACAAGCTTCAAACGACAATGGGTTTTCCGTATAAAGGCAGTGTAATAGATGCAATTCTGTGTATATGTATTGTCTGTGGATGATATAAGTAAAGTAAAAAAACCCTAATACAATCAGAAAATCGACATCATGATTACGCACAAGAAGCCAATGAAAGTAAAAAATGGCAGTTGCAGCAAAAGAGTGGGCTTTTATATCAAAGTATATCACCTGTCTATGACTAACAAGTATTGCGTTGCGGCTTGGCGTAGAAGACGAAGATGCTCCGGTAGAACGTGCAGTTGCAACCGGTGGCGACGGCGAAGAAGGAGTAGCATCAACCCCAGATGGCTGAATTCCCCTGACAAAAGAAAAAAAGCCCTAATTTTATGCAACATTAGTTAAATCATAGATGAGAAAATGCATGAAACGATTAACACAGCTACCTTGGAATTGAAGAGGATGAAGGAGGTGGAGGTGGAGGTGGAGCGTAAAACTCGGTGTTCTTAATGGAGTTGAAGGCCTGAGAGAAGGACTGAGAAGGATTGAAAAGAGACTGGGGAGGGGTTTTCGATTGAGAACTCTGAATAACTTCTTCGTATGAGGGTATCTTGATCACGAACGACGATGATGAACTGTTGTTAGGATTCTGATTGTCCTTCTCTTCCATTTTCTCTTCTTTGCCCAAATTCTGTTCTCCCTCCACATTGCCAAAATATTCATACCAGAACCAATTTTATAGCTCGTCTATTCCTATTTTTATTTTTTAATTATAAAACTAGTTGGTATATAAAACTAGTTGGTAGCTTGTAGTTTGTAGCGTTTTGTTAAATCCTACATGAAGTAGCATTTGAATTTGGAACGTTTTGATTAAACTAAATGTTAGAAGTTTGTAGTGTCAAACGACATTTTATGTTTTAAACGAAGAGTTTTGTCAAACGCTAAAAGCTAGAAGCTCTCAAACACTCCAAAACGCTTCATGTATCTACCAAAAAACTATTAAAATAAATGATAAACGGCTGCGACCGTGTCAAATATGTTGTAAGGAGCGTTATGTGAGTGTAAATCGTGGATCGATAATATTTTTTTTGGTGTTTTATAGTTTGGATTTTAAGCTAAATGGAGTAGTTATTTTTTATGGATGGGTGGAATTCCAAAAAAAAAAAATAATAATAATAATAATAATAATAATAATAATAATAATAATAATAATAATAATAAAATTGGTGTTATACTATTATCAATGTTTTAAAAACCGGATTTTTAGTTGAATCGGTATGGTGATCGGTTTCCGGTTCGACCGTCGGGTCAGTCAGTTTCTATATTTTTCATGTTTTTTTTTATTTTCCAACACATACATACATATATATAAATTCTAAATTTAATATTTACAAGTTCAAACATTAAAAATACACATAAAAATAAGTTGTAGATGAATCCAAATACATTAGAATAACACATAACCATAAATTTTATTGTTTTACATCAATCCATATACGTCAAAAAGAAAATAAAGTATATTACCATAACGAAATATAGTTTTAGATGAATACAAACACATGAAAAAACTTTATAACATTTTCATATGTTTTTATTTAGAGAAAACTAAATAGATATGAAAAAAAAAAAATCACCAAAGTTTATTATGTAAATGATTCTTTTTTATGTGTTTTTATTTGATTTAACCGGTTCAACCAGTTTATTTTGACCGGTTCAACCGGGTTTTTCTAAAACCGACCGGTTCAATCTGGTTCAAAAATCAATGTAAAATCGGAGATAGTTGAACCGCTCCCTCCCTCGGTTCCCGATCGAACCGGTTCGACCGGCTGGCTCAAACCTGTTTTTAAAATATTGACTATTATCGAGATTCATATCTCGAGTTTTTTAGGAAGGAAATAAAGGAGAAGGAAATAAAGGATGGGAGGAAAGAAAACTTAAAAAATAAATCTTGTCTTCCCCTCCTAATCCCTACATTTTCTTCTCTTTCCTTTCTTAAACGAAACTCCAGAAACAACCTTTTCCTTTCGTTTCCTCCTCTTTCCTTCCTTAGATGAAACTCGAGAACACCATTTTCCTCTCATTTCCTATCATTTCTCTCTTTAAAAAAACTCAAGAACACCTAGAGAACATGGTGACATTGCATAAAGGAAGGAAGTGAAAGGAAATTGAAGGATCATTTTTCTCTCCTAACTTTCCTTCAAATTTGGAAGAATTTTGAGAGAAATAACAAAAAATTTAATTTTCTTTTCATTTCTCTCCGACTCAAAACAAAATACAAATTTTTTCTCATTTCTTTTCTCTTATTTTCTCCTTTTTTTTTTTGCTAAAACTTAGAAATTAGGTGAAAGGCTCCACTTAGGATTTACCATTGGTACCATTTTGCAAGAAAAATATGCAAAATGGAAGAAAATGTGGAAAAGGGAAGAGAGAGGGAGAAGGAATGGCAAGGGAGTACCGTCGACGGTAAATTTCTTGTGTATACCAGCATCACAGCTTGGTGTGCCAATAACATGGCATTGTCACCTCAACATGTCAAGTTCCATACAATTACCACTCCATTCGGCCTTATACACTATATGTGGAAACATACAATCCAGTCACCGAGCTTTAATCATTCAGCCTTATACCTTTTATATATATATATATATATATATATATATATATATATATATATATATATATATATATATATATATATATATATATATATATATATATAACCAATAGCCAATGGTTAATATTTCTATAAATTTTTGTTTTTGCTACGGAATATCTATGAATAAATATAATCTCTTATACAAAAACTTTTTTTAAAAGGTTTAATTTTAACAAGTATATATTTTAACACGAATATTAGAAATGAGTTAGGAGTGGCGTCAATTAGGGATGGGTGTGGGATAGAACCGGTAGCGTTTCCGATTTCTCGAAAACCGAATTTGATCGAATGTCAATTCCAAGTACTGAACCGAATTAACATTATCGGTACGGTACCAGTACTGGTACCGG